CAGAAAGCCATTTTAAAAGACAAAAATAGGGGAAATAGTATAGCTATTGCTCCTCGCTTGCCGACGCCCCTCCGACTACATCATCACCTAGATCCTGCATCCACAAAGGAAAATAACGGGGTGAGCACAAAAAAAATGCTTAGTAAGTAAACCCTCTATCTGTTTATCCCCGTTTGTATTTCTCTTAATTCTTTCCTCACACTTTCTGTTGTTTCCTACTAAACGTCGTGGCCTCATCTTACCGGAGGTATGGCCGGATGGTGTTCACACAGCACCATCTCACTCTTCATGACACCCTTTTTCATTGTTGTTGATCCCATGAAGAAAATAGGCCTTGAACTATTGTCTTATTTTGGTTGGTCAGGCTGAGGTTTCTTGGTAAAGTCTTAACAGTTGAAAGAGCTAGTAAGCTGAATGAGGATAAGAAGCCCAAAGATACTGAAGTTAAACCCACATCTTTGATGAAGGATGCTAGTGACCATAATGATGGTCTAAAATCAGGAGGTCTACCTGCTAGTGAACCAATTGCTCCAAGACTTGGCGTAGACTATCCATTTCCTCCTTTCCTTGAGTATGTTTTTCCTTTTCAGTCTCACTAAAACTTTTGTTTTTTCTGTGCAGCTTGTCAATGTATACATTATAAAGTTGAATGTCAAAGAGCCACATTTGTATGCATACTTTGAATTTCCCTTTAATTTAGTTCATTTAGGTCATGAACCTTTGTGATTTTGGGACACCAAAATAACAAATCTATTTGAAAGAGGGAAACTTGTTAATAAACAATATTTTGTTCTGTTTACATCTACTGTGTTTACATAAACTTCTTGTGCTACAGATATGCTTGTCCTCTTCCACCTGATGGAAGTATTGTGACCAATGTTGTCAATAATTGTTCTTTATTTTGTTTTATGTTTCTGTTCCCTGCTTTTGTATCCTGCTGAATTTCAAACATTACGAACTTACTTTGTGGTGATAGATGCTAGGGTTTTTGGCTGTTTCAACCAATATAGAAAATATATCAATATGTAAAGGCTTTATAAAATATGACTTAATAAATGGGTGAGAAAAGTCTTGGCCCTGAAGATTCTTCTTTCTTAAATGTGATACCAGATATCTAACACACTTTGCCTGCATAAATGTGTCATCTGGTTACGTGTTATCAGTGAAATTTTTTATTTCTATATTTGGTGGATTCTGTTGTCACTTAGGTCAATCTTGGCGCATAGGTAGCTTTGATTTATGTAAATCTAGTTATTTAACCTGCTTGTGTTGCAGGTATGCGTATCCTCCCCCAGATGGAAATATCCTGACCAATATTGTAAATGCCCTTATTGCTGTTCCTCGCTTTTATACTCAGGTTACCCCTAGTTTCTCTTTCTTAATTTCCTGTGGTTATAATTTGATGGGGAATTCATACTCATTCACTTGGCTTTTCTGTTCTAGGTGTTGCACTTGATGAACAAAATGAACATTCCAGCTCCATTTCGTATGGCTCTGCCCACACCTCCTCTGCCACCTTCAGTACCTGCACCACCAGCACCACAACCACCGCCTCCACCTGTAGCAGATCTGTCAAGCAGTGAGTCAGAACTGGAGTCCTCAGATGAGGTAACTGCTAGCTTCTAAGATGTTATTCATGCTCCACATATCACACATCGTAGAAAATGTCATTCCTCCTGATTTTTGGACCTTCTGAATGACGAAACAGATCAATTTTTTGTTTGCTGTTATTTAAAAATTACAATTTGTGTGTTTGCAAGTTATTGCGCATGCTGCTTCTCATATCTTTTCCTTGAGATCTGGGTTTAATTCTTTTTTACTCCTACACCAAGATTCTCTCTTTTTTTCCACTAGTTCCTAAATTTAGTAGATACTTAGTGTTTTATGAATATGATTTCACAGGAAAAAGGTAATTTGTTGGGAGATGTTAAAACAGCAAAATCCGGGCGAAAGCGTGCCAGGCGAGAACCTATTGTTGGCCCTGCAATTGATAAGGATGTGGCTCATGAGGCTGTTGGATTGAAACCTTCCTCCTTAATCCCAAAAGAAATCCCAATGATAAAAAAGAAGAACCCTGTATTACAGGTTTTTTCTTATCTCATAGAATTTATTGTGTGATGATTTTTCTCTTTTAGATTACTATATAATTTTTTTCTTTACTTTTTCACAGATTAAAATTGCCCCCAAAGTAATTCATAATGAACATAAAGACGATAGCGTGACTAAGGAATTGGAGGAGCACAATGAAGAGGATTCTGATGGTAAACCTTTTGCAACCCCAGAAGAACTAGAGAAGGGGAAGTTGCCTCCAGAGGAACTTTTGTCACTTCCAATGTTTAAGGTATCAGAATTTGATATTAGTGAATTGTAGTAGTGAAATGAACATGCAGTGATTACACACAAATTAACTGGTTGGTCAATTCTAATCTTTTTCGGGTTTCATTTAGTTCTGTTATTTGATGCTTAAAAGGCTATTAGCTTGAGTGATGCATATCTGTGATATTATAAGAAAAATAAATATAAAAGCAGTTTAAATGTTTTTTCTTCTGGGCTTGGCAGGACTCTTCCTTGACCATAGCACTATTTTACATCATTTGTTAATAGATCTGAAGAGCAGTTGTTGTAATTCAGATACATTTTACAAATCTTAGATTCAGTTAACATGCAAAATTTATGGTGATGGAATAATTAGTTTGAAACCTTTTGAACGTTGCAGAACTACACCTCTGGGAATCCTGCATCTGTGTTGTACATAAAGAACTTGGCAAAAGATGTTGTTCCTGATGATTTTTACTTCATATTTGGTGAGTGCACAAATCTTGATGCTTACTGTGTCTGAATAGTAGCCTTCTTTCAGCCTGATGTTACCTTTCTATCAAATATAATTCTTACATAGCCACAAATAATAATAAGAAAAACAATTAAGTACATCATGATCATATACCTAGAAATGGTCAGTGTTAAATCCTTTTGGTGCATGAAATCATATACTTCTGTTACTTATTATTTATTGTTATAGCAAAGGTATTTTGGCCTTATTAATATATTGCTTTCAATGTGCTGTAGGATCATTTTTTGGAACCATTGATGCAGCTAAATCTGGTCTTAGCATAAAGCTAATGCAGGTGAGTTGTATGGTCTATATACACATATATAAGTTTCATGTATAAATGTATTTCTAGAAATCGCGTTGGAAAATATTCACTCAGAAAATATATAAGCATCTAGGTTACCATAGTGGTTTGCTACCAGTATATTAAAGCCTTGTTACAGTATTGAGGGGGAACTGCAAACATACTCCAAACTCCAAAGGAGTAAGTTTATTTGTAGAGCAATATTATGAGTGGACTGTTATTAGGCATAGGTGTGTATTTGACTTGCTGGTTACATTACTTTGTTATATCGTATATATTTTTTTCCCTTTAAGATGATGCCTAGCTATAAAGTTATCATACTAGGCTTTATATTGGTTTGGAGACACGTTAGAAGAGCTTACTAAAGTGCCTTGCAGGTTTTATTTGAGGATTTTCCTAACACTGAAAAGCCATCTATTGCAGGAGGGAAGAATGAGGGGCCAAGCCTTTGTGACATTTCCATCAGTTGAACTTGCCCATCGTGCTTTGGTATGCTTTCACACAATGCAATTCATATCCTAATTTTCTAATTTCCAGAAATTTTAGCTTGTCCGCATAGCATACAAGGTATGAAGTCTTGCTCAAATAATCTAGCTGATCTATCACACTTGCATTATCTAACTTCTGTGCTGATTGCTGAACTATGACTTATTCATTGAATGCTCTTAGTGATTCATTGCAGAATCTAAACTTTTATGCTGATTGCCAAACAATGACTTCCTCGTTTAATGATCATAATTATTTGTTGCAGAATTTAGTGAATGGATATGTTTTCAAAGGCAAACCAATAATCATCCAGTTTGGGCGGAATCCTGCTGCTTCAAAAGCAAACTGAATATATCTGCTTGAATAGGAGGAAGCTCTTTGTACTGCGCTGTCATGGTTACTTCTTTATTGATTATTCATTTCTCATATTCCTAATCAAGCTGGACTGAAAATCCATCAAATTTTGGATTATATGTTTTTTTAGTGGCTGGTGCTCCTTCACTGACTCAATTGCAACATGAACAAATTTCACATAATCTTGGAGAATTGATGCATATTGTGATTTATGTCTATATAATTAACTGGGTTGCATTAGCCTCATACATACTCAAAACAGAAGCTGGAAAATTAACTCTCTTTCTGCTCAGTGTAGGTAATTGCATTATATAAAAATGGCAAATACTTCTACAGAGGCAGATGCATAGGAGAGGACACGGATACGTACGCCGCTGCTCTAAACAAGACATTCCTACTGCTGCAGAAGTGTTAAGGTTGCTGTTGCTCTGATCATGTACATCCATGATCTTCCATGGGTACGAGCATGTTCATTAATCAATGAATGGAAAGGTGCAGAGTTTATTACACTCCCCTGCTTAAGCTCGGTTTGATCTCTTGGTAAAAGCAAGCCATTTGTTGATGTTCTTATGATCAGTATTTCTACAACGGTTTCAACTTTCAAAACACTGCAGATTGCAGAAGACTCGGGACTCTCTACTGCATCGTAGCATTCACAAGGATATTGGGAAAAACCCTTGTACCATTTTTTCTCCATTGTGAGAAACTCCAATGTCTTGTAGTGTAAACAAAAAGAACTCAATGTCAGAATCGTATCATTGAAACCCAGTAAGTTAATTCAATTAAATTTACCTTCCTATTTCTGGGCTACATGCAAAAACTCTGCATACAAGCAAGCATCAACCCCGATTCAACCGAACTTCCGATCATTAGACCTGTAATTATTATCATAACTTTTAAATCTTTTTTGTTTTTTTGGATGATTGGGGGTGTTCAGTCTAACTTACGTGCACCTCAAATAATCTCTCGAAACCTTAGAACTATTAGTCGGATAAAAGTTTTAGTGACAATTTCTCTTAGCAATCAATGAGAGATTCGAATTCAAGACTTCGAGTGATAAACCTAAGAGTTTCTATCAAATCATTCAGTTATTCAAAGGTAGTGTAATTTTTAAATCTAGAATTCACTATAACAGAAGTAAATTTATTTGTTCAAATTTTCGTCAGACATTTCTTCTAAGATTCTCGTGTGAAATTGAACAATAATGTAATAAAATGAAGGGTGTACTCCCACCAAGAAACTATATTAAACACACTGATGTCAAAACTACTTTGTAAACCATGCTGAAGTTAAGAAGAGTTCCTCTTCTCTACTTCACAAACTCAATAAACCAAACAAAACCAAAACACTTTTCTTTTGTTTCATCACAAACCCATCTCAATCTCACACAACACCAACAAGAAAAACAGAAATCCTTGAAACAACAAAAACAAAAATATTTTCTCACTCTCTTTCAGGACCTCCCAACAAACCTCATTACCATCCAGCAAGTTCACTCTCATTTACTCACCACTAACTCTCTACTGCTCAACTCTACACTCCTCTTCAATACTCTTCTTCGTTGCTACTCACTCTCTGACTCTCCTCAACATGCTTTCTTGCTCTACAAGCAACTTCAACAAATTTACGTACATTCTAACCATTCATGCCCACCTTTATTTGATAGCTTTACTTACTTTTCCCTTATCAAAACTTGCCTCATTTTAAGCTTTCCAAACATGGGTATGCAGCTTCATGCTGTTATAATTAAAGTGGGTTTTGAATCTCATGTTTATGTGAACACTGCTTTGGTTAACATGTATGTTTCATTAGGGTTTTTAGTGGCTGGTACTAAACTGTTCGATGAAATGCCTGAAAGAAATATAGTTACTTGGAATGTAATGATCACTGGTTTAATAAAATGGGGTGAGCTGGAGTTTGCGCGTTCGCTCTTTGAAGAGATGCCTAGCAGGAGTGTTGTGTCATGGACTGGGATTATAGATGGGTACACTAGGATGAATCGGCCTAGGGAGGCTTTTGCTTTGTTTCGAAGAATGGTTGAGTGGGAATATATTGAACCTAGTGAGATAACTATTTTGGCTATTTTACCGGCTGTTTGGCAAAATGGGGATGTTAAGAGTTGTCAATTGGTTCATGGGTATGGAGAGAAAAGAGGGTTTCTTGCGTTCGACATACGTGTTGCAAATTGTTTAATAGATACTTATGCCAAATGTGGATGCATAGCGAGTGCGTCAAGATTCTTTGAGGAGATAGCTGCTGAGAGGAAAAATTTGGTGTCGTGGACATCTATAATATCTGCATTTGCAATGCATGGGATGGGGAAAGAAGCGGTAACAAATTTTGAGAGGATGGAGAAAATTGGTTTGAAGCCAAATAGAGTGACGTACTTGAGTGTTTTGAGTGCTTGTAGTCATGGAGGATTAGTTGAGGAGGGGCTCAAGTTTTTTTATAAGATGGTTAAGGAGTGCCAAGTTTTGCCAGACATTAAGCACTATGGGTGCTTAGTAGACATGTTGGGAAGGGCGGGGAGGTTAGAGGAAGCGGAGAAGATTGCTTTGGAGATACCTAGTGAGATTGCTAATGTGATAATTTGGAGGACCCTTTTAGGTTCTTGTAGCTTCCATGGTAATGCTGAGATGGGTGAGAGGGTGACAAGGAAGATATTGGAGATGGAGAGAGGATATGGAGGGGATTATGTGCTTATGTATAATATCCTTGCTGGGGTTGGAAGATTTGGGGATGCAGAGAGGTTGAGAAGAGTGATGGATGAGAGGAATGCCTTCAAACTTCCTGGGCATAGCATGATATAACTGATGGTCTCTTGTTCCCGCTGTGTTCTTAGCGTGCGAGATCATTATGATGTGAATGGAGGATGCCTATTCTCTTGTGAATGAAGTTCTCACAGTCAGGCAGGCTTATACCATTATGCTCACGAGCAGAATCTTAGCTTGAGCCTACCTTCGCACACCTCCGTTACTCTTTAGGAGGCATCCGCCCCAGAACAGGCTGGGTCTACAGCTCTAGGTGCTTGTCACCAAAAAGAAATGGTCCGGGTGGTCTTGAGTTTAATCAAGAGCAGGCTTAGATCACTTTAAACAAGCTTCCATAGGTGGATCCTAAAGCTATCTTACCTCAGTATGCTGCCATGATACACAAAATTTTGTTCGTCTATGCTACAAACTTCTGGTTCTAATTGATGAAACGATTCATTTCTTCCAAGAAAGCAACAGGTTGTGATGTGCGGCGCTTCCTTGGTGTTCACTGCCTTTTCTCAGTGATGTAAAATCTGGAAAACAAGGCTATTTCCCTGAAGCATTGCCAATAAGAGGTTGACAGAACTCCGTTCAAGAAACATGGCATTTTCGGTCTTCAAGAATTGAAAAGTGACTGAAATTTATGCTGCACATCAGATACGTATAGGCTTCTTTCATTTCAGTATCTGCTTGCTGTATTCTTCATTGTAACTGAATATATTTATGCTCTTACACCTGAACTCAGGTCCATTGGAAACCATCATATATCTACAGTTATACAGAGGAAATCTTTATTTCAGTTACCAAAGATTTGCTATAAGTTATCCTTTCTTCACCAAGTATTGTCTTCCTCATGCATCAGTTTTTCAATTTAGTTACATTCACAAGCCAAGGCATCATGATTACATCCTAGTATCCTTTATTGGATTGCAAATCAATTCTCAGCCTTTAGTATACAAGGTTTTCTTATTATTTTGTGGACTTCTTAAATTGAAACAGTATGGAGGAAATGAAAACAATATAAATTGGATATTGTTTGCAACACAAGATCTTAAAACCGATATTAGAGATGAATCTCAGGCATGCAATAGGACAAGATGCTATGCGAACCAAATATAATTATGCGATATTGAAAGTGAAACTCTACAATTATAAACTATAGCACCATTAGTAACCATAAGTTGCAATCCTTCACGAATTTGAAAATGAATGTCTCATCCATAATGGCCTGGGAAATTTCATTTTGCAATAAGAACAGATTAATTTATTTCGTTTAAAACTTACTCTCTCAATCCCTCCGCCACAAATGCGTGATTTGTATTAGAGTTAAAGATCTGTTGTACAGCTATATGAGTCTTTTACCCGTAAAAGGTACTAAATTTTAACTATACAAAGAAGTTATTGTCAATGTCACCTTAGACCTTTGCAGAGGACACTACTACTCTGTTAGATCTAACATCTAATGCCAAATCCCCAAAATTACAGCAATGCCAAAAAGAAGCAAAAGTATACCATTTCCCCCTGGCAGGATGGATGACCTGCAAAATTCAAGCAAGCTTTTCAGATGCAGTCAGTCATAATCAAGAGACGACATTGTATATTAGACAATTTTATTAGGAGTAGTCTAGTTGATACTCAAACTTGCATATAGATTAACAAGTAAAACTTGAAATTTTGTGATCTCAGTACTAATCTTGCAATTCATCTCAAAGTTCACCGAATTTATGTAGTAGATAGTCGTGCAAATGAACTGGTTTCTTTTATTATTTCTTTACTCTATCATTGTTTTAGACTACGCATAGAAATAGAAGGTAATAGATTTGGGGAGTCTGTTATCTCTTAGTTTGTGAAATACTTCACAAAGCAAACAAAGGCTCTAGATCGATTTGACTAGATTATGGTAGGACAAGAAGAATGCCGCGAAGCTAGCATTTTTTAGAACACAAACTTGACAATAACTCATTCAAGACTCAGGTCTTTAGAATGCAAGGCTTTTAGTTGAATTGTTGTTTTGAAAATGTATCAATATCAATACTATGTTAGCAAATATTATCTAGATTTCCTATTCTAAGCAATACCTGAGCTTCTTCCTCGATTGCTGTATGTATGCCATTGCTGGAGGAAGAATGCCAAACAAGAAGCAGTTTGCATAAACCCCAGCAAAATCTAGAGCTCTTGAAAAGGTTGAGGGGAAGAATGATGCTATGAGAACTGGAAGACTCAGAACAAGTGGCATTACAAATCTTTCCAATATGTTGAACCCAGCTACGCTTGGTCTAGATTTATCTTCTGAGGCACCAATACCCCTTGAGCCATTAAATGAAATTCTCCCAATATTTCCTTGATCACTCTCACCTGAATAAGTTACAAACCCAACTCTTCCAAATCCATCTCCTTTAGAAACCATTTGAGACTGATGGAAATTATGTTCTACCGAATTCCCTTTCCCAAAAATCAACTCCAGGGTATCAACAAGCTGCTTTGGCAAGCTAACAGCATATCCTATGAAGCTAGTAGCCAAAGCGGCAAATGCAAAGCCTTGAACTGCAGATAAAGCAGAAGGATTAACTGAAAGCAAGAGGGATATGGGGTCTTTGGAGGAGGCAGCTCTGTTTGTCCCAGCAAGCCCCAAAACAATCAAATTCCAGGACAGAACCATAATCAATGGGACAACCCCACCAATCAATACTGCTTTTCGAGCCTCAGATACAGTGTTCCCAGCAATCTTACAAATAAAAGGAGTGATAACATGGAACCCTAATGTGAGTACTGTTACAGGTATAGCAGGCAAAATTGATGAAAGACTCCAGGAGGCATAAGCAAAGGAACCTAATACATTACTTCTAGCCACAGATAAACCAATTCCCACAAGTGCAGTTATGGAGAAAAACATAAGGAAGCATAAAAACCTATTTGCAACATCAATGACCTTAAAAGGAAAGAACCCAATTACAATCCCAGCCCCCAGAGGAAACAAAACATGAGCCAATACAAAATTCATCCATGGAAACAACTGAGACACAATTGAACCAATGCCTGAAACACAAGCCACTAACAAAGAAAAACTCAAGCTGGCATAAACCACAGCAACAAATGCACCAAAGTGACTCCCCAATGCTTTTGTTGCAAGACCAGTAAAGCTCACTTCTTCAACCCCGTCCTCTTCCATGGCTGCAAAAGTCAGCTCCGCAACCAGAATGATTGACGAAATAACATACACCCAAGACAGAAGAATAGCCATACTTGAAGGAAGTGAGCCTGATCTTATTGTTGCAGCCGGCAATCCCAACATGCCGGGCCCTACAGCTGTACCAATGATCAAACTAACAGCACCCCAGAAACTCTTCTCCTTCACTCCTTGTGTCTCCTGAGGTTTCTGTTGCATGACAAGTTCATCATCATCATTATCATTAAAATGAGGAGAAACGACTGGGAGAGAAACAATGTTGCCTTTAGCCGTGCATTTTGTAATGGAAATGAAATGACGAGTCTTGGAATTTCTGGTGAACAATGTAGGCTTATTGAGTGGTGTTGTGTGAGAAATGGGTTGTCTTTGAAGGTGGGTGTTAAGGTGAAGTGGGTTAAATCTTGCTGGTGAAACAGAAAGAAGCATATTGGAGATGAAAGATGGATTTGAGTATATCACTTGCAATAAGATTCTGTATGTGTTTTTGAGATTCTGGTAGTTGACAAATAGGATTGCAGAAGTGCTTTTGTAGTTTAGTAGTCAGAGCCGCCAGACTAAGCAATCAAACCTGACGATTTGAGAGGTTTTGATGAGAATTGATCTCATTGGGTTGTGTTGTGTTGTCTAAACAAGCCTCGCAGAATTGTCGGCCCCGTAGGATACAAATAATGAAAGCCCACTTGATTTTAGTACAGGGTACCCGGTGATGCAGTGAATTAACGTAAAATCAAGGCTAACACAAGACTATGTTTCTAAGGTTGATAAACAAGTATGAATCACAAAAACTTAAGTCATAAAATCTAGAGGAAAATTTGAATATTTATTTTATATCATCAAAAGATATGAATAATATATTTATATAGGGGGGTGACGATTAACCCTTACAAGACTCTTAATTAAATAAGAAAATAAAATTTTAATTAAGCATGAAAATTAATTAAAAGAAGAAATCTTCACTGTTGACTAATTATAAAATAAGAAAAAACTCTAAATAAAATAGGAAAAACGCGTAAAAAACTTAAACGACTCAAAAACACGTTAAAACAATAGATTTTGGCTTTGAAAACTACTCCCAACAAAGGTGTTGGTACGTAAGGCTCGAAACGAGTTTTTCGTTGATATCTTACAAGCTCCGTAACTCCTCTTGGATAAAAAGTGATAAGTGTTTTAATCTGACATTCCCATTTAAGACTTTTAGGCCATGCGTTTGGGCTTCTGACACTCAACCAATTCCAAAAATTCATCTTCTAGACGTTCTACGTAAGTATGGTTACAAACAACTATTACTTCAATTCAAGTTTTATAAAGTAATTAATAACTATCCGTTTCTAATTGGGAGTCCTAATACTTCCCAAACTCTCTCTCTCTCTCTCTCTCTCTCTCTCTCTCTCTCTCTATCTATATGTGGCTACTCCAAATGTCTCCAATTCAACTACATAACAAAAACATAGTTCTCGTACAAAAACCATACGCAGCTTGTTAAATTTCAATCACAATCATGGCGAAACCTGACAGGATTTTCATCTTCTTCTTCGCAATCCCCTTGTTTCTTTCCCTTACAATCTCTCCTGGCTTGATGATAATGCCTGATGAAAAACAATCAACCTGACTTCTCCAAGGAACTGAATCTTGTGGATTACCTCAAGGTAATGAACCAGCTCCGCATTGAGGGTCTGATTCCAAGCACATTAAAATCCTATACCGTGAAAGATATTAATGTGGTGAAGATCAATCTTGAATATTCTTGTTACGCGACTACCGGTTAGATAAGAGCTCCAATAACTATTCATATTAGTAATTGAGGAAGAACTCGAACTTAAAACTTCTTGAGTAATACACTCAAGAGTCTCTATTGAACTATTCAATCACCCATAAGTAGTTAATTTTAGGTTCATTTAGCTTTTTGGAAAAAGCAAACACAACTTTAGTTTGTTCTTCATGGATAATAATCCATTTTACTGAGTTTACTATCCACTGGGCGAAGTCCAAATTGTGTTCACAAATCATGCTCTTAGATGAACTAATAAAAAAAAATTCGGCTCAATAAAAGAGTATTGAAAAGACAGATTAGGTTAGGGGAGGTCGGCCGAAAAGCATCACCGGCCTGACCAAATCTATGGATACGCTCATCTCTGAAGGTTGACTGCAAATTTGGCTAATATTTTTTATTTTTATATTTTATAAATAATTTTTTTTCAAAAAAATTATCTTTCGTGTAAATTATTAGATTTGGAGATGTCATTTTTTAACTTAATTGGAATACAAATCTATGGCCATGAATTTATTACAATTTAATATGTATATATTAAACCCTTAGATTATAGTAGATAACTGTGAAAATTTTAAGTCGGAAAATTAAATTAAAATGTTCGTATCCGTTAAATAATCAAATTACTTAGTCATATATTAACCCATTTGTATTCAATTTCTAATTTCTAATTACTATTGTTAATGGTGATAAAAGAATTCTTGAATTTTTTTAAAAAAAAAAAAAAAATGTAAACCAAGGATTTCCCTGTTCCAACGTAATTGGAATTTGACAAAATTTATAATTTGTCTAATTAATGACACAGAAAAATTAAAATTAAAACGTAGGTGGAACCGTGGAATTTGACAAAATTTAGATACTTCGAACTTCGATTGATCTAGGCATATCATGTCGTGTCAATATGTGGGGTCAAATACAAAATTTTCATTATTTATTGCAATCCAATTTTTGTCGGCTGGTTATTTGAAAAAAATAATAATAAAATTTATTTAAAAATTCCCAATAAAATATGTTTGTATTTATTTATTTAGAATAAATAAAATGTGTATTAATTATAATTTATAAGTGTATTAAACTACTAGATAGACCCCTAATTCTAATAGATGTTAACTTATTTAAAGTCAGAACCAACAATTTACTCGTACACGTAATGGAAAAAAACTTGCAATTCACCTTTAGTTTACTCTTTTTTGCATAAAAAAAACATTGTTTTAGAGTTAAGATTTGATTAGCAATTATTAATTTTAGGAGGATATTGTTAAGATTGTAGAACCAAATTCAATCCAAATTAGTATTGTATCGTGATATGTTTTCTAACATGAAGAATACAAATATTATTGTATTAAGAATTAAAATAAAAGTTGAGTCGTATTAGAAATAATATCTCATATATTAAAGATAATGAGAGCCACCAAAGAGATGTTTAGTGAGAGAACTAATTTGTTAAACTCATGAGAAATTCTTATAATTTTTTTTTTCTTCATAATGAAATTTCGCGAAAGATAACTCTCATTTAAAAAGTTAACCACTATAAATCTTGTGTTTGTGTGTATTGTTAATTATTTGTCATTTGTTCACTTTACTTTTGCTTTTATAGGGATTTAAGATTTGCTAGCATTTGATTAAATCTTGGACCAAAGGTTAGGATGGATCAAATCATTCTCTCGATGATTTTATGAAATGTCAAGGGAGATAATGTGATTTCTAATATTGGTAGGGTCTATGTGTTATTTCCTTGAACGTAGGGATGGAAAGAAAATAAGCCGATAAAATTTATTACGCTAGCATTAATTAAATAAAATTTTAGTTACCGGTGGATCTGGATTCCTGTCCAGTCAATGACCATAAAAAAAAAAAAAAAAAAAAAAAATCTTGGGATTGGTCCCACACAAGAAATGAGGTGGCAGAGCACCAGGCTTTTATCCAAATCACATCCGAAGACCGAAAATCATTTACTTTTTTGGAAGTAAATTTCATACAATCAATTAAAAGTGCCTTGAATATTTGGAAATATAAACACAGATATAAAAGAATAATTACTTGCATTATGGATTTTGCTAAATATATGCCCTCTAAATTTCAAAAAAGAATCGGTGTTTCTGAGCATTACATGATTGATTATATTATAAGAGAAAGTTCTGCAAAATAGCATTAGACCATTAAGAAGAGAAATCTGTAAGGTGAATGCAATATAATGTAAGCTCAATTGCACTAAATGCAAGCAGTCTGAAAAGAAACATGTTCACAGTAAATGGAGCTGAAAAATGATGCATGGATAGATGAACAATAAGACAAAAAATCAAGGGCCGAACAACTTCCACGTACCCAAAGTTTGCCATAAAGATAGATTGGTACCTGAAAGGTTTGGAAATGACAAACAAATACATTTTTTATTTATATTTTTTTTTATATATTCTGTTAGGGATTTTTGTCAGCTAAAAGTTAGTATAGTAATTTCATTTACAACCACAAAATTTTTAATTTTTAAATCTTTTTCTCCGCATCCATTCTCACCCCAAGCTCGTTTGCACAGCCCTCTTGCCTCATCGATAGATTTTTTAATCGGATTTAGCATTTTTTAGCGAAGTCCAATGGTAAACAATGGCACTGACTCTTGCTGGCGCATGTTGGGAATGGAGATCGGTGACTGCGACCTTTTATCGAGCACGTTGTGTGTGTGATGGAAAATGTCGAAGATGGGAGACTTGAGGAGTGACGACGACTGAAAAACACAACCCACACAAGCAAACAACACTTCAATAACAATATTTTCAACAACAAACTCCAGAAGAGCCCATGATCATCAACAAAGGAGTGGAAGTCTGTTGGGTTGGTTGGAAAATTTTCTCAAACAGTTGGAGGGCGGGCAAACACTGAGTACTAGACAACAAACGGCAAGTGGAAAGGAGCGATGGGCGGTTAGGTTTCGAAGAGGGAATGGTGGGGATTCGAATGGTGGTGGAATGGTGGATTTCTGGGGTGAATATCGACCAGAATCTGGTCTCAAATATGGGTAGTCATAAGGAATAATGGTGGCCGCATTTTCGCGATTAATGGGTGCACCAGTGTCGGGATTAGGTGGGTTTAATGAGGGAGGGCCATGAGGGTGGATGGAGGAGTTTTTGGGTGGAAAATGGCCAGAAAAATGGCCAAAACGCTGGTGGCAGAGGTTGCTAATGTGTGATGCCGAGAAGAAGAAGAAGATGTTAAGGGTATTATAGTCTTTTCACCATTTTTTGTCTTTTAGCTGATGAAAATTCCTAATAGAACATGATGGAAAGTGGTTGTTTGTCATTTCCAAACTTTTTGGGTACCACTTTGTCCTTACAGCAAACTTTGGGTAGGCGTAAGTCGTTCCTCCAAAAATCAAGTCATAAATAAATGCGTTTGTAATACCATGGATGTAATGACTATATGGTATCACATTTAACAAAGATGTATTTCTAACTTCTACCAGACCACACACCTCAATTTAAACATACTGCCAGATGAAATCCGAATGTTTAATTGAAGTAGATTTGTAGGAGATAAGAAAATAATGGACTTCCATGCAATAAAATACCTGATTCCAAATGGAATGAATGGAAAAAAGCTCGAGAACAAGCTTCGGTATGATGAGGCTGGGACAAGACCGAGTAAGAACACATGAAAGTGGTGACTTGTAAGTCTACTAGTTATGTCAA